TGATTGCACTTGTTCATGAATATCTGGCAACATTGCCTTAACCTTAAACCTTATCAAGCCGGTTTGCTAAGATATTGACTCCAACTTCCATTTTCAATATCGGCAATTAAAGTTAGAAATTTTAATTAAAATTCAGGAAGATGAAAGCAGAAAGAATAAAATTATAAAGTTTTGATGATATTACCTTATGTAACTACTTCTGAATTGTTTTAATTTTCTTTTACTAAAACAATTAAACTAATGGCTAGTCACTAATAATGTGTATCCTAATTATTAGTATTTTAATAAAGCACGCTTTTAGATGTTTCAAAAAACTTTTAATAAGAGTAACTTTAACTCTACATATATGTTTCGGCTTGTTAGGCCTTTTTCAAGAGTTTTTTAAGAACTAATCGTCTAACTACACTGTAACTATATATATATTTGCTATGGGGGTGGGTTCAGAGAGTTTACAATAGGGGTAATAAAAAATGTGTTTAGAAATCCTGTTGGTCGTTAACATTATTTTCGTTTTTAACAGATTTTAGTATTTCTAACTGTTCAATGTAATTTAAGCGTCTACCTTTTGTTTCTCTGTGTAGTAACTTAATTGAGTTTTCATTAATTTTGTGATTATTTACTATACAATGAGTTGCAAGACCAGAACTATGCTGGAGATTATTAATAGACTTTAATTTTATTTACGTTAATAGTTTTACATCCTATTTTATTGAGATTATTTGATATTTTGTTAGTTAAATTAGGAATGTAGTTTAAAAGTCGATAATTGTTATTGTCTTTAGAATTAGCGGAATAAAAATTTTTCATTAATATTTTCTTTTGTTTTTTCTTTAGCATATTATCAATAAGGGAACACTTATATCCATTGTTGATGGCGATTTGTTTAATAATATTTAACTCTTTTTAAAAATCTCTCTGGGCTCGGTGGAAACATTACTAATCTATGAATTAAACTATGAAAGGGTGACATTTTGATTTGCCAGGATTGGTGTGATTGACTATGTATTACAGTGTCTGTGGTAGTGGGTTTTCTGTAAATATCAAATTGTAATCTATTAGACTGTTTTATAATTGTAACATCAAGAAAATTGATGGTATTAGAAATTTAGATATAAGGATTAAAGAACATGTAAAGTCTATTAATAATCTCCAGCATAGTTCTGGTCTTGAAACTCATTGTATAGTAAATAATCACAAAATTAATGAAAACTCAATTAAGTTACTACACAGAGAAACAAAAGGTAGACGCTTAAATTACATTGAACAGTTAGAAATACTAAAATCTGTTAAAAAGAAAATAATGTTAACGACCAACAAGGGATTTCTAAACACATTTTTTATTACCCCTATTGTAAACTCTCTGAACCCACCCCCATAGCAAATATATATATATAGTTACAGTGTAGTTAGACGATTAGTTCTTAAAAAACTCTTGAAAAAGGCCTAACAAGCCGAAACATATATGTAGAGTTAAAGTTACTCTTATTAAAAGTTTTTTGAAACATCTAAAAGCGTGCTTTATTAAAATACTAATATTTCAACGATGTTTCACAAGGAACCAACCACAACTTCAGTACAATGTATCCTAATTAATAATAGTTTTTTTTCTTTTTCTTAAACCTTTAAATTATATCATATATATTTTTTTTCCTTTCTTGGGTATGAGGTTTTAATTGAAAATGGAAACTTTTTTTTTATTATGCGACGTTTTGCCTCATCATGGTGGGCTTTCTCAGGCACTTTATTACGAAAACTGAATATGTTTGACGTCCAGCTTTAAATATATTGGTGTAACTTCATTGTGTTTGCATCTCAATAGGAAAATTCTTCTATTCTTTTGTCTTGCAAGTTTTCCATATAACTTTGATACGTATTTCAATTGGTTGGAACACGCTTCTCCATAACTCTCTTGAATGTCGTTAAAAAAGGTTATGGTGCAATCCTAGCAGTAATTTTCACCCTCTGCTTTTAAAAGAAAGCCCACCATGATGAGGCGAAACGTCGCATAAAAAAAAGTTTCCATTTTCAATTAAAACCTCATACCCAAGAAAGGAAAAAAAAATATATATGATCTAATTAATAATTTGCTTAACTAATTTAAATATTGTTATTGTAGGTTCCAGAAAGAAAATATTTAGGCCATAGGCAAATTAACAATCTTTATTGCACAAAACGCAATATAAAAAAATGTGTGTATTCATTAAAAATGCTTATTTATTTAAAATGCTTGTTGCATCACAACAAATCAATGCCCTATGACTAAAGTTGCATTCAGAACCTCGCAATTAGTGGTTTCAATTACACTTTATACTTTTTAGTTTACGATCATTCACAATGTCCAAAAAACACAATTAAAATTAATAGAATACCCTATCAACATAAGCGTTAGTAAGTAGTATCCTTGTATAAGAATTTTTAATGTAGCTCAACCTAAGACGTTTATGGATGTAAAGCACCAGATGGCGGGGCGTATTTCACAGTCTTTTACTACAGAAAAATATTTTTTGTTACTCTGAATTTTGAAGCGACCAATAAAAACAGAGAAAATAAAAATCGATAATTTTCGGACTGTGCCAATTGGTTACTAATCGACCAGATACTTTTTGTCTATTAGATATGCTATAAAAGCTGGTAATTATACAATTCGACCACATTGTAAATACCCGACAGATTCCGCAATTCCGAAGGCCGACGAGGCCGATGTTTTTCACTGATAAGAAAACAAAATGTTTCTTTAGATAATTTTCGAGATATTTTTTCTTTCTGAATGCACATTTTTAAAGTATTTTATATTCTTTGTCCGCTTGATCTATTATACTGGTCGCACGTATCGAAGTTCTGTTTCTTCTAGTTTTAAACAATGTTCTTATTTCTTTGTAGTTGTAGTGGTTGTAGTGTAAAATTAGATTAATTTTATTAAGTTTAATTATAATGTTTAGTGTAGAATACCAGAAATAGTTTAGTAGTGTTTTTATAGTTTATTATTTTGTAGTTAAGTAGTAGGTGAAGGGATAATTTGGTTATTTTTTCTTTTTGTTTGATTAATTAGTAAGTTTGATAATTTTTTCAGGGTAGAATACAAGAAGTAGTTGTGTAGTGTTTTTATAAGATATTATATTAGTTTATTTTGTAGATGAGGGTATTTGGGTATATTTTCTTTTTGTTTTTCTTCTAATTGTAATAATTCTATTAAGTATTGTGATAGATACACTATATCTTCCTTCAACTTCGTTGAAAAGTGCGTTATCATATAATTTTGGTTTTCTGGTAGTAGAATATACAAAAAAAAATCTGATCAAATTTATTTTAAATGAAATTAATTGAGTCTTATTAATCAAATTAATCTAGTCAAATAATAATAACAGTTAGTTTCTATTAGTTTCTAAATACTATACAGGGTGAGTTTCCTATGATCGATGTTCTCTATGGGTATCTCGGAAACTACTGGAGATAGAGAGTCGGTTAAATGGGGAAAGAATAATTGCAGTTTTGTAGGGTCATAAATATGCACCTTTCGGATTTTTCGGAGAAGTTCAAGGCTTACTAGATATTTCGAAAAAAACAAATTTTAGCTATTTTAAAACTTGTCTCTAATTCCATTATAATCTACCGTATGATCGAATAAAAACGGCGTCAACCATGGCTATGAAATGAAGATCGCTGTCATTTTATATGTAAAATTATATGGGAAATAGCATCGATTGTCATTTCATAGCCATCGCTGACGCCATTTTTATTCGATCATACGGTATTTTAGACAAAAAGTTTCAGATAAAAGTTGTAGATAATCACATACATAATGAGTTTGTGTTTTCTGTTTTTTTCCTGTCATTTTTGACATATGACCCAAACATTATGTTTTTTTAAATGGAAACCATCGTTGGCCATGACTTCATAAAAAGCGCCATTTTTTAAGCTTTTCAGCGATATAGGTATAATATGTTTTTTTCGAAAAATTACAAGTTATAGCCAATTCTTTTCTTTCTTGCCTAATTTCCATACCAATAATACCATGCCAGTTAGTTGGCACCAAAAATGTAAAAAGTTTTATGTTTTAAAAAAATGAAATGATTCTTTTATAAACCTACATTAAATCAAATTAAAATAGGTATGTAACTTTTTTTTAAATATTAACCCGTCAAAGGCGAAGTTTTTATTTTGAATTTTTTGCAATTTTTAAAATGTAATTTATGTTAATATGATCATAATTAAGACTGTTCTATGCAAAAAAACCAAAAAAATTACGCCATTTTGAAAAAAACTACAGTTACCATATGGTAACGCCAGTCCTTTAAATGTACATTTTATTCAAAATAGTAACTTATACAAAAATATTAAAGTTTTAAATGAAAACATACAATTTTAACAAATATATTGATATTTTAACTCAAATGCTTGAAAATATTGAACAAAAAAACATTTACTTGGTATGAAATATAGAAAAGCATGGGATACAAAGGCCCAAGTTGCATTTGTTGCACATAGTACGAATGCTTGAACAACAGCCTTCACCTGCGCATCTCTTTCTTTTCTTGTTTGGGGTTTCAACCACTAAATGGTTCATTCCGTCATATCTAACCTCGTCTGAAATTCTATTGAGCGACAGACTGGTTTTGAAGTTTTGGGTCGACCACCAGGCTTCGGAATGGTTCCATAACTCTGTAAATAGCACGTTGTAATCTCCCTTCGAAATTCAAGTTGCGTCAGCGGTCCACCAGACTTTTGTGAATCTGCCAGGCGTTAGTTATAGTTACGTCAACAAACCAGGTAAAAAATTGGCCACCACCATTTCTTGCTGCGAATACCTATTCTGTATCTTGACGTTTTCGTCCATGAGATCTGTACCTCCCATGTGTGCGTTATATTCACCAATTAAAAAATGGACGAGGTATCATAGAGAATTCTTTTTTGGGCAGAACTATAACGTTTTACTTGTGATACAGGTAAAATACCGTGACAGGTTGAAGCGACACTAACAACGTTGTTGTCAACCCAACGAACTACCATAATACCTGATTCTTTTCAATAGTCCCCTGTATGTCCCTCTTTCTTTTTTGCGAGAGATTTTTGTCTGACATCGGACAATTTTGGGCCATGCGGTTTTCTCGAACGGTACCGGTACCCTGATAGCCCCTTTCTTTTAGGTGTTCTAAAAGATTTAAACCAGTAAAGAGGTTATCAAAGTACAGTTCATATGGTCTCTCCTTTTCCCCTTTTAACTTGTCCAACATTGACACAAATGGTGCAGCAGCTTTTCCAAAATCCTTTTCGTATACTTCATGTCGTAAACTATTTTTTCCCTGATACAATTCGCAGTTTACTAAATATCCCGATGTTGTATTCAGTGCCCACATTTTGTACCCAAATCTGATGGGTTTACCACGAATGAACTGCTTACAAGGATGTCTACCATAGTACTTTATCATACTTTCATCATAACTCATATGCTTTTCTGGCTGATAATGTTGCAAATATTTAGCTTTCAGTTTCTCTATAAAGGGTCTAAGTTTCCACGCTTTGTCGTCCAAATTTGGTTTGGAGTTATCGGCGCAATGAAGAAAACGCATGATTTGAACAAAACGGTCCCGTCTCATGGCACCACTCACCATCGCATTGTTCACATCACCTTGTGACTCCCAATATGATTTTTTTCCTGGCAATACTACATAGCCACTTACAATTAGTATTGCTAAAAAACATTTCATTTCATTTTGGAAACCTTAGGGATCGGGTGAGTTTTTAAACAGAGCATAGCGAGATGTCTCCTCGATTAGAAAAGTAATTATTTCGTCGTCCAAAAATAGCTCAAAAGTTGAACAGGTGAAAGATCCATATATTGTTTATAATTAGGTTCTGAAAATCTCTTGTCTGCGCTTTCTTGAAGATCACCCCTAATCCAGCTGAAGTTTCTTTTAGACCTTAGAGTGTACAATGGAACCGAAGCTGAAGCACTGTACTAGGAATATCCAGCTGTTTGGGCTCTGCAGTACTATTTCGGGGTAGGATCTGGTTCTTCAGGCTCTGCATCAACGTTTCCTTTACTAAAAAATTTTACTTCGGCTCGGGCTCGCAGTTGCCGTCTACCCGAAAGATTGTCTATTGTACCTCCAGAATCCCTATCTGCGGAGTCTTCATCCGTTAGAACATTGGCATCAGGTGGTTCTGGCACACGTAAATAGCGTCAATATCTTCCGAGTAGGCCATATCTAACGCCTCTTGCAAAGAAAACCGCGCCTAAAAAACACACTCCTTAAAAAACTGATAGTGTATTAGACTGGCGTTACCATACGGTAACACCAGTAAAAAAACACCTCCTAGCCAAAAAATTCCAAGGCATGTAGTAAAACACAATATAACCACAAAAATATACATATTTATAAAATAAAATAGCATAGCAAACACTTACCACATGTCTAAAAACAAGGAATAAATACTTACTCAAAATTTATGTCCACCATTTTTCAAACCGTTGCGATATCGTCACAGTAAATTGTCGCCTTACACGTATCTGCTCACTAACAAAACCAAAACGATACTAAAATAATCATTACATGTCATTTCTTAAGCGCATACTTAGCGACATCTTGTCAAAAATTACGAAACATCTAATGCAGTGGTTAAAGAAGGACCCTATGTTTAACGTTACCATATGGTAACGCCAGTCCTTGACGGGTTAATTAACAGCCAATTAGCATTATCGTAAATTATAAATAATGTACCAACATATCGAAATAATAATTTCTTTGTTAATACGGTTTAGAATTCTTAAAATAACAGGCAAAAATAATCCACAGTTTACAATAAAATAAAAGTTTCGTTTAAATTTCTTAATCAACTGATCACTATTAAAGTTCGCAGAAACCCGGTTTATTTTATTACATTACTCTGAGGAAAATAACGAAAATAATCGATATTTTTGACTCCGCCCCGAAAGGTTCACGATTTGTCCTCCAGTTGGCAGCACATTTTGTCTAGTCGGTTGATCAACTTTAAGAATATATATACAAGGGTAGTATCCACAGAGAAAGCCTAATATTTAGCTTATAAAACCATCAATTTTTGATTTCTAACCACAATTTCTCTTGACGGAAGATAATCAAAGGCCAAAGTGACATTTCTCGCAAAGTTTGAAGTATAATTAGTGGAAAAGTTAAAAGTTTGATAACTGTTTCTATTAATTGAAGAGGTCTACCACTAATTTTAACGTTGCGAATTTTTACATTGAAATTAACGGAACAAACTCTACGCTATTGCAACCACTAATTTATTCCACTAATTACGAGGTTCTGAATGAAGCTTTTGAAATACAAAAGTAATGAAAAATAGTAGAAAATCTGGAATCTGTGATATAAATAAAGAAAACATACCAAAATAATAAAGCACAAAATTCCTTTGCTAACTTATTCTTCTACGGTATTCGCCGGAAAAAATAATATAAACCAAATTATTTTCTCGAAGCCCAACAGCGTACATCCTTTAATTTGTAACTGTTTACTTTGAAAACGACGAATCTTGCTGAATTAAGACTAAAGATATTCTCTGTAGTGGAACATATTTAACGAAGTTTACAGCGAAAATTTCAGTAGGATATATGGCGAGCTCTATTTACAAGAGAGACACTCCACCTAATTCTAACTTACGTTCCTCGTAACCAGAGACTCGACAAATAAATTAGAGGTACAGAGCGTGGTCAATGCTACGTCGTTGGTCGTCTTTGTTTTTCTCGCTTTGTTCGAAATAACAATGCAGATATCTCTCCTCCAAGTCGCTCGGGCCCTGCGCCTTTTTATTTATGTCGCGTATTTACATTTCTTTGTATTAAATTGTGTTTGCTGGAAGAGAAAATGAAGATGGGAGGAAAGATTTTGCAGAGGTTTATTTGCTTTCATCTCGGAACGACAAATTGAAAAATGCCTTCATTAGGAACTGTTATTTTCTTAAGAACAATCAAAGAACATTGCTTTTACATAATATGCGTGGACCATACTTTTGTTGACATCGGGTCAATTAATAATTTTTAAAAGCGGATATATTGATAATGTTACCAGGATTACTCATCAAGCAATACAAACATATCATATACAATTTTATATACAAATTTATTATAATAAAATTAAATCATGAAAATATTGTAATTATATTCCTGCAGTTCAGGTGAAAAGTTTTGTTCCTAAATATCTACTATATATTTATAACCTAATAAACGCGTGTTCAAATATTAATTCTGTGGCATATACAGGGTGTTTCAAAACAAATGCGAAAAACTTCAGGGGGTGATTCCTTGTTCAAAATAAAGGGTAGTTTGCTTCATAAACGTTGGGTCAAAAGTCAACCATTAGGGAGATATTGCGGTACAAAGATGGCGGAAAAATAATGTTTTTAATTTTTATCTTGAAAACGAAAGAGATAGACTAATAAAATTTATGGAAAGCATTACTGTTATGAAAAACACACTTTCTGGTAATTTTTTCACTTTTTCAAAATGAGTGGAAGGGTTGAAATAAACTACCCTATCATTCTTGTTAACGAAATTTAAAGAAAATCTTATCAAACACATGCAAAAAATTAATTTGGATAGTTTAGTTTGTTTAGAAACTTTTTATCTCTTGTATTTTTTGATAAAACTCACCGATTTGAAATTAAAAAATAAATGTAAAGCATTACATATCAGGACAAAAACATTTTCACGATAAAGAATCTAATGGGCGCTTAATTTTTTAAGAAAAATTTAGTCGGCCGCTGTTACTTTTAAGGATGTCCTAATATTATTTTATTTGACATTACTCTACTGCAATACGTTATTATCTAGATGATTATTATTATCGTTATTATCACTAGATTCTTAATCTAAAAATGTTTTTTTTCCTGACATGTAATGCTTTACATTTTATTTTTTAATTTCCAATCGGTGAGTTTTATCAAAAAAACACAAGAGGTAAAAAAGTTTCTAAACAATCTAAACTATCCAAATTAAAGCATTTGCATATGTTTGATAAGATTTTTCTTTAAATTTCGTTAACAAGAATGATAGGGGTAGTTTATTTCAACCCCTTCCACTCATTTTAAAAAAGTAAAAAAATTACCTGAAAGCGTGTTTTCATAACAGTAATGCTTCCATAAAATTTCATTAGTGTATCACTTTTCGTTTTCAAGATAAAAATAGAAACATTATTTTTCCGCCATCTTTGTACCGCGATATCTCTCTAATGGTTGACTTTTGACCCAACGTTTATAAAGCAAACTACCCTTTATTTTGAACAAGGAATCACCCCCTAAAGTTTTTCGCATTTGTTTTGAAATACCCTGTATATCAATATACCATAAAACGAGATGTACTTAACGAAATATCATCGTAACAAAAGCTATTTTAGAAACGTCTAGGTTTACTTATTTCACTGATATTTATGAAAAAAAAATCCTTTGCCTCCGGTACAGATACCGCCACGATTTGGAAATAGCTCAAAACAAAACAAAATTAAACGAGGCAACAAAAAACGCCAAAAAAATCCCCCCTCGCCCTCCTCACGAGTAGTTTTCAGGCGCTTTTAAGTATTGAAAGTAGGTCGGGACAAATGGAAGTGGATCAAGACAACTGGAAATAAATCGAAATGCGTTCAAAGTTGGGCGACGAAATGCGACCTTGGCATGTTTCGAATTTTTTCTGGCGTACTGTGTACGCTGTTTTAGAAACTATTGATAGTTTTTTGTGACTAGAAAATAGTTTTTGATACTTTTAGTTTATTTTTTTTTTGGTTTACTATAAAAAAATCAAAACATAATATAAATATATGTATATATCGATAAATAATCTCATATAGAACGAAAGGCAGTGTAATTTACTGTCATTTTACTACGATATTCTAATCAATATTTATCAAATAAATCCAGCGCAAACTATCCGAAACAGAAAATAGAGAAGAATAATGAAATTTTGAATTGCATATAGCGATCTAGAATTGTACGGCAGTCCGGACCCTAAAAGATATTTATGCGTTGCGAAAGGGTTCTTTTTTAAGCTGATTGAACAAAATCTGTCTCCCGCACGCTATAAACTGTGATTTAACCGTACATATCCATAAATTTTCATGTTTATCAGTATTGCGGCCCATAAAGTCAAATGAAGTGTTTATATCTCGACCCCGGAAGGACTGGTACGTAGGCTGGGTCAGCAAAAACGAGGACCTTTTGGGAGTCTGTCGTAATATGAAGCCTCTAATAGGGTGTAGGTATATAAAATCTAGTTGATAGATTATAAATAAATATTTTTGATATTATTTATGATAAAACAAATTCAATTATTGTGTTTTGGCTGTTGGCAGTGTTACTTATTATTCAAAAGATTCTAATATCATAATACGAAGCAATCAGCAATGAAACAGAATATATTTGTATATACCAAAAATAAAAACATTTAGTTCCAATCAGCTATTTTATACATGGGGTACAAAAAAAAAGAAAATTATTTAATTTAATATTAGAAAAAAAAAATACAAACAAAATCTAATACAATATATGACCATCCCTATTGTTTATGACAGCTCTTCGTCAGCGGGGCATACTCATATAC